CTATTCCGGTCTCTGCTGTGAGAACAAAGAAATCCACGTCAGTGTATGTGCATAACAATTAGTATGTTTCCTTACAGACATGGCAAATATTCAGAGCTAGGTACTGGTACCCTGTTAGAAATATGATGTTATATCACTAGGATTCTTGTAAATCGATTAGTTTGCCACCCACAAAGCATCATGTGTGATAAAGTGAAGTTTCAAGGTTATGAAAGATTCTGCTTTCTCTTGCAGCAGGAGTGTCGAGAATTCTCTTACAGAGAACTGAAGAAACATTTCCTGCTGTGACAGAAAGGATGGTGAGTGTTTTGTGCTTGTGTGTACAGATAAGAATTTTATTGTCGTCTCTCAATTCTCATATCTTGAAACACTAAACTTTTTATGCCAAGCTTGTCTTAGTTTTTATAATCAATCTGGGGAGTTTACTTGGTTCTTCATATTATAACACTTTGCATTATTATGTGGGAGAGGGATCAGTTCAAGGAGAGTGATATGGGTAGGTCACATGTGAATGAGAAGTGTGTACAAAGACTTTGACAGAAGGCCTGAATGAATGAGACCACTTGGGAGACAATTGTGAAGATGAATTTTTTTAAAGGTACAAATATGGGGGTTTTGGACTGGGTCTGTGTCAGGATGCAAAGTCATGATTGGCATGTGTGAACACAGTAAAGAGTCCTTAGGTTCCATAAAGAGCAGATATGTATTGTCTGTACTTCCACAGGTTTCTCAGGAAGGTCCCTGCATTATGAACTTAACACTTCCTGAGATTATGAAGTCTAGAGAAGAAATCTGTACAGAGCAGCTGTTATGGGTTAGATGTAATGAAAAACAGCTACAGCAAGGAGAGCATATATTGTTTCATGTAGGGTGTTGTGCAGCCATGACTTATAGAAGATGTGATGCCTTTACAGAATTGTACAAAGTCAGAGAAGGTTTTAGTGGGTCCACATGGTGAGACATACGCAGCAATTCATGATGCAAACCAGACCATGAATATAAAAGCTGAGGAAGTCTCAGATGCACAAGAGGAAGCAGATTCTGTGCAAATAACAGTTCAGGAGATAAAGGCTGAACCTGAGGTTTGCTGTATGCTTGTGTATGTCCATTATTAGGTAGATATCACAGATTGGCAGGAATTTCAGTTGTCTTTCTCATCTCCATCTGTCTGTCTGTGCACATGGGACAGCTCCACTGTGCTGCTGACTCACCTTTGAAGACCTTTTTCTGAAGTGTCTCTAAACAGTTATAGTTTGTTGAATGTATGCTGCTTGTGATTTACCACTTCTTTTTCCTTTTAAGCAGTTCAAATGCACATGAAATTATATTTTGCATAAATGGAACAATGTTTGAGAGAAATTCTATAGCAAAAATCCTTGGGTAGTCACAGAACTGTTCACAGTTGGTTACTGGTACACTTATTAGAACCTTGAGGCACTATGCTACTAGCCAGAAGGTCTCAGATTCAAGTCCCACTGAGGTCATTGGATTTTTCAATTGACCCAATCCTTCCAGCCGCACTGTGGCCCTGGAGTCAACTCAGCCTCTAACAGAAATGAGTACCAGGAATGTTCTTGGAATATTCTTGGGGGTAAAGGGCAGCAGGCACATAAGGCTGTCTACCTTGCCACCATCTGTGAGCCGGTTGTCTAGAAAATGTGGGAACCTCAACACATCTCAACCCTATGGGCCTCCACGGCCTGTTACAGGGATACCTTTACTTACTTACTTACTTACTTACTTACCTACTTACCTACTTACCTACTTACTTATATACGAGAGCAATGAGTTCAAGGAGAGTGATGTGGGTAAGTCATGTAGTGCACATGCAAGTGGCCGCGCCATAGCTGAAGCAGTTAATCACTGGCTTCCCACCGTGGCGGCCCGGGCTCAATCCCGGGTCTGGTCAAATGGGATTTGTGATGGACAGAGTGGCGCTAGGGCAGGTTTTCTCCAAGTACTTCGGTTTCCCGTGCCATTGTTCATTCCACCAAATTCTCCATCATCATAATCACCCGGGGGAGGCTACAATAGGCCAATCAGTTAACACCACTCTTTTCCAGCTCGCCTTTTGTTTAAATTTCAGCTCAATCGGAATGGTGTTATCCCTGCTATACCTGTTTCCACCTTAGGACAGTGTATGATGGCCACTGGAAGTTGTCCTCACAGATCAAACTAAGGAAGGTCTGTATAGGTACGGGAAACTAGCTGGGTCGGTTTGCATGAGTCTCAGGGTAGCGATGCCGAAGAAAACGGTATTCTGGGAGTTGATCCAATTGACGTTTATTCACCTTTTTGTTCTCCAAACCACTGTTAATTTTATGTATCCTTATGCTTTAAGTTATAGCGTTACACGATCTGCAAGCTATGTCTCGGAGCGTGCAAGGGTCATGTCCGTTCACTTCGGAATATGGTGAAAGTCTCTTTTTTTGTGGAATGGCTTGCACACCCCACGCCGGGAATTTGAAAGAATTCGAATTCTCCATGGTGTGGACATATACATTTCATCCCATCTTCCATAAGGCAGTTTGAACGAGGCAACCCAGTCATACTGGCCCTTATTCACAGGCAACTGTAACAAGCTCTGACCTGTCCTTTTCACTGACCTTCCTTTTAGGCGCGTCCAGTTTCCTGTACCCGAGCTAAATTTATGACTGATCGTAAATGTCATAACTCCGGACTTCTTGTTTCTACCAGAATCTAGAAAATTTCAACATAAACACCGTATTGCACGTCCCAGACAATGAAATACGATATTATAGATCACAATACATTTCCAGTAATATCAAAACATAAGACTTTTGAAATTAAAATTACTGAGAATTAATTAGAAATAAATGTCATGGCCATCTATAATCATCCAAATAAATAAGGGCTCAGAATGATCAGCGTCACAGTGGCTGCCATGCCAAGTGGACCCAGTTGGACTCCACCCCCCACTAAGCGAATTAAAAAAGAATTAATTTTAAAAGTGCACATGCAACAGAGAGAAATGCATACAAAGTTTTAGAGGGAAAACCTAAGAGAAGCAGACCACTTAGGAGACCTAAGTGCAGATGGGGAGATGCTATTAAGATGGGTTTTAAAAGTAAATTGCATTTGTACTGGGTCTGTTTGCCTTAGGATACAGAGCCATGATGAACATGTGTGAGCACAGTTAGGTACCATAACTAACTACAGGGCGCTGAGTGAATCTTTCAGAAGCCATCAGTTGCTTGACCACTGAAGAATTTCCCAGCATTGTATAGAACCTGAACGTTTATTGACATGTTAGCAAGAACACATCACAAGTCCCAATCGTGAGCCATTTGAATCCAGTCCACACCACCCATCCTATGTCTCTTAAAGATCCATTTAACTATTGTCTTCCCATCTGTGCGGAGGCCTTCCTAGTGGTCTCTTTCCTTCTGGCTTTATCAGTAAATCCTATATGCATTCCTCTTCTCCCCCCTGCCTGCTATATGAACTGCCCATCTCATCTTCCTTGACTTGATCATATAATTATGCTTGGTGAACGAAGGTTACAAGTTGTGGAGCTCTTCATTATGATGTTTTCAGGTACCAATAAAGCAGATATTTCCTGTACTGCCACAGTGACTGTTAGTTTGTCAGGAAGATCACTGAGCTATGAACCGAGTACTTTTTAGTGATCATGATAGCTATAGAGAAGAACATCTGTACAAAAGAGCTCTTATGAGTTAGATGTGATGAGAAACAGCCATAGCAAGGAGAGCATACGCTGTTTAACATGTGGTATTGTGCATCCATTTCTGAGAAGGATGTGATTGTTTTTACAGAACTGTACAAATTTGGAGAACGCTTTAATGGGTCCATATGGTGAGACATACCCAACACCTCATGATGCAAGTCAGGCCATGAATATAAAAGCTGAGGCAGTCTCAGATGCAGAAGAGGAAGAGGATCCTGTCCCAATAACATTTCCAGAAATAAAGGCTGAACCTGAGGTGAGCTGTATGTGCACTGTTAGGCAGATGACACAAATATGCAGAAATGCCTCTTATCTTTCTGATATCCATCTCTGTGAACACGAAACAACTCCACTGTGCTGTTGACTAGATTTTGAAAGTTTTTATCTTATTTTTATGGCTGTAGTACCTTGAATGTTGTGTGTGATATACCACTCCCATTTTCGTTAAACAGATCTAATATAGAACTTGTGTAAACTGAATGTTTGCGGTAATTTCCATAGCAGGAACAATCCTTCACATTTTCCTTGTCTGTCCAATCCACTAAGCAGTGCTTTGGTACTACATCATAGGGTTCCCAGGATCTATAAATGCTGAACTTTATCATTTGTTTTCTGTCTCCCATGCAGTCTGTATCCATGTAATAACATAGAGGTGTCATTGTGTTGAGGATTTGTAACAGGATAATTAAAAATTCTCTAAAAGATTTGTGATAATGTTTGACAGGTTATAAACAAGTGTTGCCTGTTGCCCTTTGTTTGAAGTAAATTTAATATATAAGATACCGTTGGAGTTGCCCCTGTACCTGCTGTCGGGGGATTGGTTGTCATGACAGGTTTTTTTGTTGTTTTCTCTTAGACAGAAAGGTGACTAAACATTAGATACAGAGAATGTGTACAAGGTGTAGAAAGGAATAGTGAAGAATTGGCATTGGCAACACATCCTAAAATATAGACGCAGTTGTGGTGAAGTGGAATCTACAATGGATGTATTTGAACAGCAAATAAAGCTATTAATGAACATCAAAGAAAATTTCTACATCTACATATAGATGGAAGTTCTTACTTTTTTCGGCCAGTTCATAGCGACTGATGCACTGCTGGCTGCAAGGTGCATACAGATTTTTCCAGTGTATCAGTATGGCTGTGGCCAGTAACATTTGGAATGAAGTATACAATTCATAGGTCACAGAATTTGTTGAAAATGCTGTCCCTCTACATGCAGACATTCCTTGCAGCAGCAGAAGGGGCTCTGATTAACCCTTAAAGCTGTTGTGCCAGAATTATTGCAATTTCCCTGTGAATATTGTTTTTAGTTCTTCCATGTGAGGTGTACTGTTTTAAACTTTGCCCTGCAAAGAACCGGGGCACAAGGTAGTGTAGTTGGTTGAGGGGCTATGCTACAAGCCGGAAGGTTGTGGGATCAAGTCCCGATGAGGTCATTGGATTTTTTTCAGTTGACCTGATCCTTCCAGCCATACTAGGCCCTGGTGTTTACTCAGCCTCTAACAGAAATGAGTACCAGGAATTAATTAAATAATTTTCCTGGGGAGTAAAGCGTCACTGGCGTGTCAGGCTGACAACCTTACCGCCATCTTTGAGCCGATTGTCTAGATAGTGTGGGACCCTCAGCGTCTCACAACTCTATGGGCCTTCATGGCCTGGTACAAGGATAGCTTTTTCTTTTACTTACCTGCAAAGAACCACAGATGAAAGGTTGGGTGAATGTGCCTGTCAAACACCAGTGCTGATATTTCTGTCCCAGAAATTATCAGACAAAGCCTGCATAGATATACGTGAAATGTGGGCAGTAGCTGAGTCTTGCTGAAACCAGTCATAGAGTCTTTCTTCTTTTGTAACTCGAAAGAATTGTCAGAATGACCTGTACATTTTTTTCACAGTTAATTTCTCTGTTAAAAAATGCTGGTAGAGCAATCCTCTTTCCCCTTGCAGCATGCCAGACTCCAACTTTCACTGGATGGAGCCATACTTCATGGGTTAGATGTGGATTCTGTGAATTCCAGTAGCAAAACTTTCTTGTATTTTTGTATCACTGCAAGTGAACCCATGGCTCATCAGAAATTAATGTCAGTTGTGGATCAGTCTCATCTTCAATGATACACTCTAGAAACCAACTACAAAAATGAATTTAGAAAGTTATTTATTAGTCCTGATGGCATTTATATTTATATTCACATAACACATTTTGGAAGCTGGATATACATTTGGCACGATGGACCAGACTATGAAAGTATTATATATAAAGGAAGGACGCAAACTCAACACATTAGAAACATCTTATATATGTGATACATAATGAAGAATGGTCTACAGATGAACGATACATTTACAGAAATACATAATCCCATATTCGACATTCTAGTGAAAAAACACACACACACACACCAGATAACCACACCCCTTTCCGTATCTCTTCAGCCACTCACAGTATCCTCCCCTCTACCTCATACCACTCGACTCTACACAGACATGCCCACATATACAGATACTCCCCAAACAAGTAGTCTAGACCGAACTGCTACAGCATAGTGACAACATCAACACAGGGAGCAGCTTGTACACATATACAGATACCCCCCAAACAAGTAGTCTAGACTGAACTGCTACAGCATAGCGACAACATCAACACATATACAGATACCCCCCAAACAAGTAGTCTAGACTGAACTGCTACAGCATAGTGACAACATCAACACAGGGAGCAGCTCGTACACACATACAGATACCCGCCAAACAAGTAGTCTGAACCAAACCGCTACAGCATAGTGATAACATCAACACAGGGAGCAGCTTGTACACATATACAGATACTCCCCAAACAAGTAGTCTAGACTGAACTGCTAGAGCATAGTGACAACATCAACACAGGGAGCAGCCCATACACATATACAGATACCCCCCAAACAAGTAGTCTAGACTGAACTGCTGCAGCATAGTGACAACATCAACACAGGGAGCAGCCCATACAGATATACAGATACCCCCCAAACAAGTTGTCTAGACCGAACCGCTACAGCATAGTGACAACATTGTAACCGTTCATTCTGACTGGAGGACTGTTGTGTGTTAATTAAATATGTATTAAGTTAAGATTGCAAATTACAAACAAAGAGATCTGGCAGATAGCCAGCTCTTACACGCAGAAGGGACATAGTTCAAGTTTTGCTATGTGGACAGGAAGTAACATCTGGTACTTTCCTGGAATTCTGGCAGTTTCAGCAAAGTCGGAAAGTCTTTGAGAATTTGAGAGCTGACAGCTTGGGACAGCGATAACTTAAAAGTGGGACGGCCGGAGCCTCATCCCCTGATCGTAATGCATCAAGGGGCTGTCAACCTTAGCGTCAGGTCAGCATCTGCCAGAATCACATAGCAAAGCAACGTGATTGGGAATTCAAAATTTAGGGCACCTCCTAGTTTGAAAACTTAACCAATGGCAGAATTGGAGGAGTGGATTTCTCTTGGAGTCTGGGGTTCATGGACCTCAGGATTCAGAGAGAGGGGATTCCACCTGGAGGAGTCTTCATACAAGTTTCGGCAAAGTCGGACACAAAATTTACAACTACGGCCCTTCCGTAAAGTATTATAAGTAGAGTTCAAATTAAGTGTACTAATAAATTCAGTTGTATTCATTAAGGGAGGGAATTAAAGGACTACTAAGTGCAACGGTCTAAAGAGGTGTGTGGTGATTGTAGTGAAAGGTTCTTCCTGCCCTGCCCGAGCCAGACCCGTATAAGACCTGGGATAGGAACTCAGCTCTACAAATTACTGAACAGAACCCAAATACTCCCGTCTTTACCTGCTCTCGCATACCAGGTCCGACAATCACATTTCTCCCTTCCCACCTAATTTCTCGACATCCAGGAGAAGAGGGAGGACGGTGGTAAGCGGAGCACAATGTAGGTTCAAGGAGGACGGTAAGAGCGTGGCGCAAAACGTAAAGGGCCCAAAAGAGGTGAGCGGTTACAACATCAACACGGAGCAGCCCATACACATATACAGATACCCCCCAAACAAGTAGTCTAGACTGAACCGCTCTAGCATAACCACAGCAACACAGGGAGCAGCCCATACACATATCATCATAAGAAAATCAAATATATGGTAAGCTAACAATGAGTTTAAAAACATTCACAAGCTTCTCCTTATAATAATTAAAAAACTGTTACAGATCACTCTGAATAAACAACCCGTTGGGTGACATACAGAATAACAAGCATAAATTCCACAAGACGATATGGTAAGGTCAAGACCACATGACCTAACTCATGAGAGAAGACCCCAATACACAGGTGCCCCTCACTATAGTCACTTCTACCACCAAACAGTCACGTCAACGCATAGCGTTCACAAAGTTTTAAAGAGATATCAAAAAATATTTCCATTGTAGTACAATTGTAATTTTTATGTTTTAATCTTTAGTTGATAATTTTTAAATTCTGTTGTTTAAGTATTTTAAAATTTTAACTGATAGATTCAATTTCTATATTTAAAAACACTCAAGTGCACAATATGGATCCTTATTGAAGAATTAGTTGCAAATTGTTAAATGCAGTTCACCAACTGAGTCTGGTATCATTGTGTGCCTAATGGTGACCCATTAGAAGGGTTAAAACATGTAGCATCAATAAAACCAAATGTTGATATGATAGTGTCTACTTGCTTTAAATATAGAATATTGTTGTGTAGACTGCATACTTCTGTATACATTTTATGTACCTATGTACTCCTGCTTCTACACAGTGTGGTGTGCCCAATACCATTTCACACATGCAGAAGTATGAATCATGGTGATATTGTAAATATAATCACACTATATACAATAATATTTTGTTCAGACTGTACAAGAGTTTGAACTGCGTCACTTCACAGTTTACGATACACACACACTCTGAAGCACATGGAACTTCTCGAAGCAGTCAGCTTCACACAGAGCAACATCACACTTTTTACAATAGAAGAGTGTGCTCCTGCTTTTCTTATTTAGTGAAAAGCATGACGTCTTTGTTTCCCTTTGGTTGGCCAGTGTTGTGAATGTTCCACCTCCAGTCAACTCATTTGGGCCCCAGGTAACCTTGGCCTCCCCCCAAGAAACACCACTTACCGTGATATT